ATACCGACTCTTACGGCATGCTTGTTGGAGAGGCAGTGGCTCTATTCTTGTTTTTACACACAATCTAGCCCCGAAACACACAAAGGGAATTTAATAGTAATATATATGATTTCTTTTTTTTTTTTTTCTGATCGACAAGTTTAAAGTGTGTATTATCCCACACAAATGTCGCATTACGAGTAAATCTAGGTGTTGTGTTTAAATCGGATGTCTGTTTTCCTGATATCATGCTACCAGGTTGGTGATTCTATATTCTGTCCGTGGACCAAACAAAGGTTGCCTACCCCTGCTCTATGGCAGTGTATTGGACGCTGCGATAATAGAGACTGCTTATTTGTATTAATGTTCAACCAATGGACCAACTGTAAACGCTTACCAATACATTCCATTATGACAGTTTTTGTGCACACGATAATTGTGTACGCAAGATTTGTACATATGTTTATTTGTAGATGTTAATTAGCTTTCAATTTTGTTGATTATCAGATTTATTGTTGTTAATCTAAACATTATTACCATGATGATTTTTTTTTTATTGATTGAGTTTTGTTAAGTTTTTTTTTTTTATTTATTCACTACACTCGTGCCTGGTTTTACGGACACAAACATGCTGTTATTTCCCTCAACGTCTAGGGTTTCAGCATGAATAATGACATTCACTGACGTAAAAGTGATTATTCGAATGCCGGTCCAAAAGGATGGAACACCAGAAGCCTAGTAAACTATTAAAACAGCAATTTTAATTGGATCGTTGAAGAAGACAATTTTTCGTTATTTTTAAGACCCATTCTGACTTGCCAGGGGCCGCAATTATAGTTGAACGCGGTTTCCGGGACCTCTCCATGGGTGATCCTCATCCGCATCGTATCATTTTGTGTCACCGGATGTTTATCGCTCTGTCTGATGTTCGGGGGGGGGGGGGGTAAAAAAATTAACTTACTTGCTGCATCGTTGTTATTTGTGGGCATCTGTCCATCTTTCCAGAAAACAGTGTTATGTTTTGCTCTACGGAAGCAAAAGAATCATAATCCACGGCGATGGCGAGTGTGACTAGCAAAACTGGCTCGCTCGCCTGCGGGTCTGGAGGACGAGTACCCAAATCACATTCAACCCGATTTTTCCGAAAGTGACATTGGTTCCCAAGTCGACCCAACCTAAAATGGAGACCAGGTAAAGTCATGGGAAGTAAATGTGGCCGGTGTGATGTTGACCATATTCCCCACCGAGTGCCGACTGGTCTATAGATTATAGGTTACACAACTGTCAACAAAAGCACTTAGTGTATTCACAATAGGCTTTATGACGCCGACAAGGGTCGTTTGCTTTTATAATGATGATGATGATAATAATAGTAAGAGTAAAAATAATAATAGAAGAAGAAGAAAAAGAAGAAGAAAAAGAAGAAGAAGAAGAAGAAGAAGAAGAAGAAGAAGAAGAAGAAGAAGAAGAAGAAGAAGAAGAAGAAGAAGAAGAAGAAGAAGAAGAATGATATATGTAAAATAAGGTGAAAATCATCCACACATGTTTGAAACTAAAACTGTAAGGGTTGGGGAAAAGTGGGGGAGGGGAGGGGGGTCCTCAGCTATTTTACACATTTTCAAGGTGAGGAGAAGGAGCCCGTGTAAAAGGTATGTGGGGTTATTGGGTCCTCAAGTTACGACACCCATGGCTAGATCCGTATTTTTACAAAACTGTTTTGCTTACATTGTAAATCCCGGTTAACGTGTTACTTCTTTATTGTTTATTTTGTTCCGTTATTTTGACCAAGTTCCCGTCTTTCTGTGTGTTTTTTCGCCTTTGCTGACAAGCGGCCTTTGTGCATCTTATCTATGAGAAGGATTCTTCCAACGATCACTCGCGTGCAAGTGGCTCTTCATACAAGAGTGTTGGTGATGTTTGGCGAATGTGTTAGTGATGTTTGGTCCATGTGTTGGTATTGTTTAACATATATGTTGGTGATGTTTGGCGAATGTGTTCGTGATGTTTGGCCCATGTGTTGGTGTTGTTTGGTGCGTGTGTTGGTGTTGTTAGTGCATGTGTTGGTGCTGTTTGGTGCATGTGTTGTTGTTGTTTAACATATATGTTGGTGATGTTTGGCGAATTTCTTGGTGTTGTTTGGTGAAGGATGCGAATGTGTTGGTATTTTTTGGTGAATGTGTTGGTAAATGTGTTGATGTTGCCTGGTGAGTGTGTTGTTGATGTTTGGTGAATGTGTTGCTGTTGCTGTTTTGTTGATGTTTGGTGAATGTGTTGTTGCTGTTTGGTGAATGTGTTGTTGCTGTTTGGGAATATGTTGGGGATGTTTGGCAAACATGTTTCATGAATGTTTTGTTGTTTGGTGAATATATTGCTGATATAGGGTGGAGGTATTCGGCAAATGTGTTGGTGATGTTGAGGTAGTTTGGTGAATGTGTTGTATGTTGGTGGTGATGAATGTGCTAGGTGAATGTGTTAATGATCTTGGGCATGTTGGTGAGTTAGGGTGGTGAATATATTGGCGATGTTGAGGGTGTTTGGTGATACTAAGTGCTTTTGCGGAGGGTATTGTGTACTCATCTGTTTACAAAGATGTGAGGCCAGGTGTCTTGTCTTCTATGTTCATCTGTTATATGTTTACAAATTGTTGTATTTATTACAGAAGATAAAATAAAAGATGTTAAACAACTATTTCTCTAGTTGTCTTTTACAGGCTGTGTGGAGGGTCTATGCAGAGAAAGGGGTAGACAACACACAGGAAAAAAAAGAGAAAATGGTGGGGGCTATTCACTGCACAGAGAAGCAGGGAACAGGTACTATCGGTGACTGCGTCGTCCACTGGCTCGCCGGTAGACGACTTTGTCGCTGGTTGGGACAGTTTTTGGGTCTGTCTCTTTTGATCGCACGAACGCACTGCATGTCGGTGGTGTGCAATGCTAAACTATTTTATATGGTGCACATAACCTAGTCACAATTATAACTTAAAGCTCTCCCTTCAGGAATGCTGCTTGAACACACTTTTTTTTTTAAATAATATTTTTGAAACGGGATGGATGGATCGAGAGAGAAAGAGAGTGAGAGAGAAGGGTGAGAAAGAACAAACTAGAGACAGACTAAGCACAGTCAAACAGTGAATAGTTAGGTGAGAGGAGGGAGACCAGATTCACAAAGAAAAAGGAGAAACTACAGAGATTATGCATCAACACAAACACAAACGGTAGGAGACTGGCAATTTACAGAGACAGAACAGACAGACTAGGCACACAGAGACATAACAGATAGACTTGGGACAGACTAGGCACACAGAGACAGGACAGACTTGAGACAGACTAGGCACATGGAGACAGAACACATAGACTTGAGACAGACTAGGCACACAGAGACAGAACACATAGACTTGAAACAGACTAGGCACACAGAGACAGAACATATAGACTTGAGACAGACTAGGCACACAGAGACAGAACTTATAGACGAGACAGGCTGGGCACATGGAGACAGGATAGACATACTTAAGACAGACTAGGCACACAGAGACAGAACATATAGCCTTGAGACAGACTAGGCACAGAGAGACAGAACATATAGACATGAAACAGACTAGGCACAGAGAGACAGAACATATAGACATGAAACAGACTAGGCACACAGAGACAGAACATATAGACATGAAACAGACTGGGCACACAGAGACATGACATATAGACATTTGAATATGCTAGGCTGACAGGTGCAGATAACACAGCCTAGCTGTAAACCACAATACAATGTGTAACCATCCTTTGCAGAAAAAAATGGGGGGGGGGGAAGCATTGGCTGCTGAAGATGTGGACTGCACATTTATGGAAATATCCGCCAGTGCTATGATGAAGGTTCTTAATTCACCTCAATTCCCACTATGGGAAAGTGATAAAAATTTAAAATTACAAACAAGACAAAAGAAAAGCAAAAAGACACAAGTTTTTACATCTTAACAAACCAGCAACTTTATTCTATTTAACAATCAAACTTAAGAAAATACACCATACGCTTGTTACTGAGACACTATTGGTCAACTAATGTATCTTAATATTTACTTGTTTACAAAATTACATGCTAGATTCATTAACATACTTGAATACTCACAATTTCTTACAAATGACACAGAAAACTCCCCACTTAATGTACCTTCTTACCCTCAAAATCTTACACAATTATATCCAAGATCATCAATGTACTTTCTTCTTCTTCTTCTTCAGCATTGCGAGCCCTTGAGGTTCATTGCTGCAGATATCACCCGCCTCCATACATCTCTCTGGTTGGCCTTCTCTTTCCAGTTGGTGACACCAAGTGTTTGCAGGTCTGACTGGACATTATCTCTCCATCGCCTTCTTGGTCTCCCTCGTGGTCTCCGACCATTCATCTCCCTTTTTACTTCCCTGTCTTCTGACATTCTTGCAATATGTCTAAACCATTTTAGTCTATTACCTCTCATGATGCCAGTTATCAATGGTGATTTAAACCGATTATGAATTTTGTTTTTGCTTCTCACTCTCCATTCCCCGTTGCTTGCGCCTTTGATGTATGTTATCACTAACTAATTTTTACAAAATGACACCCAAGATAGGTATGCAACCTATCAGCCACTAATTCTTACAAAATGAAACCCAGAATCCATTAATGTGCATTCACTATCATTATACATCACACAGTCAATCCCTCCATCCAACCAATTCTGTCCAAAAAACTTTTAATTTCGTGAATGGAATCCAGGTCTACTCTATCAATACATTATTAGCCAACAGCAGAACGTGTGTGTCCTTTCATCCAAAAAATTTTTTTAAGTCTCAGCAACTTTTGGGACTGAAGTTTCCTAGACATATCAGAGTGCTGTTCATCCATCCTGATGTTATCCTTTTACTGTTATCACTATCTGTCTTTTGCCTTTAACTTTTTTTAAAGAGTACCATGTATTTTAATATACCTGCCTATTTCACTAGTCTTTTTATTTGCCAATACTTAAGTCAGTTTTCACAGGTTAACATTTATGAAGGAGGTGGAGGAGGAGGTGGCGGGGCAAGAGGGGGAGGTATGCTAGAAGCAGAGGGCGGGGGAATAGGAGGCGGGGGTGGAGCCATAGACATGCCTGGGGGACCTGGAGGGCGCATCATTGGCGGCGGTGGCATCATACCAGGGGGCATTGGTGGCATGGACACTCCAGGGGGAGGTGGCACACCCAGGGGAGGCAAAGGCGGCGGAGGCAGTCTTTGGTGCATAAAACCTAAACCACCTGGGGGGATTGGTGGAGGGGGCAGACGAGGTGGTGGTGGTGGAGGGATAAGCATTGGTGGTGGGAGGGATGAGGCCGGCTGTAAAGGCTTCGGACTGGGAGCTCGACCAATCTTGGAGTCAACCTTGAAGGCAAACTGCAGGAAGAACTGAAAAACAAAAAAAAACAAAAAGGCATTACATGAAACAGCAAGTACCAGACACTCAACACTGTCACTCCAACAATGCCAGTTCAGACTTCTGTGGGTTTTTGATAACATTACATTTTTTTTAGCAGTGGCCAATATGTCTGTATAACAGCTTTGGTACCCGTTGCAGCGGTACAGTATGTAAACACTTTGGGTATGATTGTGTATGCATGCACACACAAAATAAAGCAGGTTCGCCTGCATGCTCATTGGTCATAGGTTTAAAAATAATATTCAATCTTCTCAATTTCGTCTAAAAGATACGCATCTTTGTAAATCTCTGGCACTCCACCCTAAGCATCTTGAGGAAGAGAACGAACTAACAAACTTTATTTTCAAAGAGTTACAAATTGGGAACGCAGGCCTGTCTTACATTCGGCCCTTCCAAATTCTAACCTTTCACATAGCAATTGTATTTTATCAATAAAGCATGTTATGATCAAGACAAAACACAAAAGTGGTAAAATGCATGGGCACACTTGCACGCACGTGCACACACACACCCAACCATCCACTCACTCACATAGTCTTACATACAAACACATGCATACACTCACACATACATATGTACATTTTCATACATGAGAGGTGAAGAAGAAGAAGAAATTTGGAGTTTTGAAGTTTTTTGTTTTTTTTTTTGAATTTTTGTTTGTTTTTGTTAAAGAAATTTTGGAGAGGACAAAATCAAGAAAAGGTTGCTCAGCTTTCAAAGCCATTGGTAATCATTTTCTCCTTGATCCATATCTCCTTCCAGATTATGATGATGACGTTCAACCCCCACCAGGACATCACACAGAGCAATAAACAGCCGGTAACACAAAAAGGCCACCATTTGGGCGAGGATCACCCAGGGAAAGGTCCCAGAAACCCTGTTAAACCCATAAGTTGGGTTATCTTAGGGCCCTCTGGCAACAGCCAGGATGGGACTTTAAAATAACAACAAAACTGCATCAAACATTTTGACACATAGTTGCAACTTCCAGATTTCCCTCCTGCACGCAACGAGGTCCCCGTTACCCTGTTTCCAGGCATCTTCATATCGCAGCAGAGGCTGAACCTGACTTCTCCAACCCATCTGTAATTCATTACAGAGGATGTTTTTAGTAACCTAGATTCAGCGAGCCTGAATTTAACCCATACCAGTCCCATTGCCACCAAAATCATGGACTAAACACCAGGTGTGCTGTGAGCAATATATGGATATGTGAAGAGTTATGTCCCTTGGGAGTATAGTGCATATATATATATATATATATATATATATATATATATATATATATATATATATATATATATATATATATATATATATATATATATATATATATATATATATATATATATATATATATATATATATATATATACAACATTATGTCCCTTAAAGTACAGATTTAAACCTAAGATGGTAATAGGTAAACTGAACCGCAGACCCATTTGCCAGGATCACTGGATCAAGGACCCGTATAGCCGTGCAATGGGAGGAAACTGTGTAGAGTTCATGAAGAAATGTGATCTTCCTGCTAGGCATTAGGGAACTCAAGGAGGAGATGAACTGTGGGTTGATACTAGAGACAGATGACTCCATAAAGTCAGAGGAGCAGTTGACTTCACAACGTCACAGAGGAACCAGGCACCATCAAGAGTCCCTGAGAGCCGATGCTGTTCTTAAGCACGCCACTGCAGGCCGTTATCACGAGGCTCTGTTAACATGTGTGAGTAGATGCTCAAGTCTGGGCATTGCCAGGCTTCACTTCTGCAGCTATGTGTCACACTGGGTGACACAATTAAGTTTTTATGTTGTCTGCAGGAGTTGCCGCAATAACAAGGTTCCAGCGTGATGGGTTCGTGAAGTGAGATTCTGGATATCTCCAGGTAATGTGACAGACGCCAGACAGGAGGACTGAATGATTTTTTACGATACTGTGCATCAGGCTCAATGGTCTCTAGTGACAGTATCTTTATGATAGAGGAGCCGTCAGAGAGACAGTCATGTTAGTCATGAAAGGTAGATTTGTGTGATACGGTACTAAAAGCCCATAGCAACCACGGAAACATAGCTGTGGCAGAAGGAGTCATTCAGAGCAGCATCTTGAGTGGGTACATGTGGCAGAAGAAAGAATGACTGCATTGTTGTGTCAATCATATCTCATGATGCAACCCATCTCATGATGTCGGTGTCTGAATACAGTATATAGTCTTTGTCGGTAAACATATGTTCAAAGTCATCTGTTATTGTTGGGCGGGAACTGTGACCTATAAGACCTGACAATATAACTGTAGACTATTTGCAAAGTGTGCGTGTTAGACAGGCCTAGTATAAAGTGTGTAGGGAGCCTGGACACTGCATGCGTCAAAGTGTCTTAAACTCTGACCTTAAAAACATGAATAAACACGTTGACACAAAAACGCTAAATATTAATATACTGTAAATATCCGTTAACACTGAAAGACAGGTTTACCTGCTTTGTCTCCTTGTTCCAGTGGGTCCACAGCTTCCGTGGATCTTTATCAACTTCTCGACTCGGCACCTGAAATAAATGAAAATAATAAATGGCAACCAGTTGTAAGGATATGTCAAACTATCAAGATTTACCAGCAACAGACAAATAATGAAATCATGGCCACTGAGTTCACCTTGTTTGAAAAATGGTTAACAACTGCCGCTTCTGGGGACAGCTTTTTCTGAGTTTGCTCTCTAGAATACTGCAGTGCCCTGCTAATGAAATCTAGATAGTGGACTGCTGCAATAAGCTAAATAATTTACCTCAGCGCAGTGTTGGGGGTAGATGTAACAATCGTTTGTGTGCTTTTTCTAATGCACTGTACAAGTTGGTGTTCATTTCTGTTAGGTTGGTCCTGATGGTGTCACTTCATCTCTTGCCTGGTCTTTCCCTTGCTCTGTGTTCATTATATTTCTTTAGCGTGGCTCTCTGTGGCAGTTGGTACCAGGGCATTTTCGTCAGGTGGTCAAACAATCTCATTTGTTGTTCTTTAATGAATTATATGACTGGTTTCAGTCCTAGTCTTCTAATTTCTTCATTCCTGATTTTCTCTCTTCTTGTCATACTGACAGCTCTCCTTAGACATATTATCTCTGTTGTTACGATCTTCGGCTCATTAGTTGTAGTAAGGATCCAAGTTTGACAATGGTAGCACAATGTCAGCCAAAACACTGTTCTTGTGAGATCTGCTTTGTTTGACAGTGGTATCCTTCTATGCGTCAGAAGCAGTGTTAATTTTCCTATAACCAGATTTGCTTTCGCACATTGTGTGCTGATTTCTCTATCTATTCTTCCACATTAGGTAAAAATGACCTTAGGTATTCGCTTGTTTGCTTTATTTCTGTGTTATTTACTTCTTTGAGTACACTTATAACCTATACTTGTAACGCTGAAATAACAAAATCTATACTTTTAACACTGAAATAACAGAACCTATACTTGTAACACTGAAATAACAAACCTTATACTTATATTTTAATAACAAAACCTATGCTTGTAACACTGAAATAACAGAACTTATACTTGTAACACTGAAATAACAAAACCTATACTTGTAACACTTTAAAAACAAAACCTATACATGTAACCGTGAAATAAAAAACCTATAGTTGTAACACTGAAATAAAATGTATACCCATAATACTAACAACAATCTGATGCTGGCAATGCTCTAAATAACAAAATCTATACCATAACACTCAAAAAACACAAAATCTATACCATAACACTTAAAAAACACAAAATCTATAATTTAACACTAAAAAAAACACAAAATCTATACCCTAACACTCAAAAAATAAAAAAATTAATACCCTAACACTAAAAAAAAAAATCTATACCCTAACACTCAAAAAACCTATACCCTAACACTCAAAAAAACAAAAAAATCTATACCCTAACACTTACCTTAAATGCTATTGTCTCATATGGCTCAGCGGCAAACAGCAAGTACTGCCATTTTCTGTCTGGAGGTTCGATCCTCTGCTCGTAGGCGGCCATGAAACGATAGCGTGGCTGAAGTGATTCTACGATTTCTGGGTAGTCAATCTGAAACAGAAATCAGCCAATAGTGTTTAGGTTAGTTAGTTAGTTGGGTTGTCATCATTGCACTCCGGACATGTCCATAGGTGCTCAGATCCTCCCCTCAGTATAAACCCCAACGTCCGATGGCTAATAGTACCAGTTCTATGTTGATTAACAAGTCTTCTGGTGTGTCTGGTGTGCGTCTCGTTTTTTACTATGACGATCTTAATTACCAAGCCTCCCATTCGGGCCAGTGATGTGAATTCACTGCCCTTAAAGTCCTCTATCCTTCCCAACTCTCTGAGGGCATTAATAATATCAGCATGATTTATAGGCTGACTGTCGGTAGTGATAGCGGATCCAGCCAACCTATCAGCCCTTTTATTTCCACCAAGGCCTGTGTGTTTAGGTGATGTATCCAATGAATCCTAAACTAAAAAGTAGGCAATACTGATGTCTCATTCATATTAGAAGGGGTTTTTATTCTTACCATATGGCTGTTTAATTCATACTAGACGGGTGTTTCATTCATACTAGTGAGGTGGTTCATTCATACCACATAGGTGTTTAAATCATACTAGAAGGGTTTTTCTCCTCATAATGTTTCTTTTACCATGTCCATTCATTAAATTCCTTCGCTTAACATATTCTCACTCCCGACTTTTGCATTACAAGCACCCAACACTAATATGCAGATATTAGCCTCGTGAAATGCTTGGACACAGAATTTTTAGCTGTCCATGAAATTACTAGCATTCCATTGGAAACCACATCTGTTTTATACTCAATTTCAAGCCATTTTTTTTTTCTTTCCAGTGTAAATAGTATTCATTTTACAAGATTCCTGGGTCAGGAACAAATCAGATATGGCCTTAAATGATAACCAAAACACTGGTGTGCTGATCTGCCAGCAAACATTGTTCACTGCCATATAAAAGTCTAAAAAAGAGTGTTTCCGGTGAAGTCATAGGCATCCGCCTGAAAAGTGAGGAACCAACAGTCTGTTTACAAATAAGCCTTCTTATCTAAGTTTCCCAGGCTCTTTGCTGATAACTGTTTCTAAGATATTAACGGCAGAGTTGTAGGCAGTTCTTGACAATTATGTACCTGGTCCTGGTGCACCTCCACGTGTGTTTCAGCACCTTTACGTGTGGTTCACCACCTCCATATGTGTTTCAGCACCTTTACGTGTGGTTCACCACCTCCACATGTGTTTCAGCACCTTTACGTGTGGTTCACCACCTCCATATGTGTTTCAGCACCTTTACGTGTGGTTCACCACCTCCATATGTGTTTCAGCACCTTTACGTGTGGTTCACCACCTCCACATGTGTGTGGTTCAACACTGCTAAAGCACTTCTAAGAAAATTGCCAGTGTTTTTTCCTCTGTAAATATTCTCAAACAAGCCTATGTGGCTTAGGTGTCGTTTGGTCCCTTTTGCTTCACTTTCAATCTGTCCGTGCTCCTTAGTTTCCTCTACACTTTTCTTTTACTTGCGCTACGCCACACTGTCATCTTTCTATTATATCTTCTGTCTGTCCAGTCAGTCCTACTGCCGAAATACTAGGTTTCGTACAGCTTTCCAGTCTTGCTGCTGGCGGAAAATCCTACAAACTGTCCATCTGCAACTCATGCAAGTTGATAAATAGTTTCGTGTTTTTGTTTACTGTAACCAACAACTTCAGTTTCTAAGGACAAAGTATCTAAGTAACAAAGTTACTAACTGTCAGTTCCTGATTCTACAATAATTAGTTACATTGTTTTCAGGAGCCAATGAGACCTAACCTAATAAGTTTTCATCTGAGAATGCTGACACCTTATTGTACTGTTTAGTTGCAATCAACTTAACAAGGGGTAACTATCAATTTCACATGAGTTTGACTAAACCTGATGCATACCCTGACCGTCTGGAAATAAACTGAATCTACTGTCTCTATAATTAATTAATTACACCCAAGGCCATTTGCAAGTTCATATCTTGTCACACAGCTACAACTATTATCTGACTGTAAATTAAACCCACTGCCTTTGTGATCGCTTACTCGTTTGGGAAATTAATTCTCGCTGCAGACAACTGACAATTACAATTTGGCAATTGGGTTAGTTTCATATCTTGTCATTAGGCTGTGGTGAAAAAAAAAAAAAGGGGGGGGGGGGGGGGGGGTGTTTGGGGAGGCTGGAAACAGCTGGCAATATAAACTTGCTCAATGTGTTTGCTCATTTCATATCCTTGGCAGAAAACAATTACCTGCCGGGGTGCCTACAATAATGTTTGGTGAAATTAAGCAGCAATGACAATTGTGAGATCTGTTTCAGGTGGCTTTTGATTGTGCGTATGCTATCTATTTGTTATGAGCGGGTTCAATCCTTCATTCTAAATTAAGCTACACGTAGAGCACGGAAGACTGTAGTCACAACTACATATAAAGTTATAGAGTGTATACACCACATTATTACACTATGATATAAGAGCAACTACTGGGATGCAAAGGTGCTGTTATGTTGGAACTCTGACTAATGACTATGATATAAGAGCAACTACTGGGATGCAAAGGTGCTGTTATGTTGGAACTCTGACTAATGACTATGATATAAGAGCAACTACTGGGATGTAAAGGTGCTGTTATGTTGGAACTCTGACTAATGACTATGATATAAGATGCAAGGGTGCAATGACGTTGGAACTCTAACGACTATGATATAAGAGCAACTACTGGGATGTAAAGGTGCTGTTATGTTGGAACTCTGACTAATGACTATGATATAAGAGCAACTACTGGGATGTAAAGGTGCTGTTATGTTGGAACTCTGACTAATGACTATGATATAAGAGCAACTACTGGGATCCAATTACACGTCTTTAAGATCCTAGAAACATTTCCCAACGAAGGACTGGCTAATCTAGACAGGAAACACACATGTGCTCTGACTACCAAGGAAGTCAAGCACATCTGCACAACAGTTGTGCACAAAACACCAAAGTCCTGGAACCAGAACAGTCCAGACACAGATGAACAACCAGGAGTTCTACCAGAATTTACAGCCAGCGAGCGCCGAGACGAGTAAGGGAATCAGTGTGCCAAAATAGCTAGAATGTGTTCCGACTGTCTCAATAGTCGTGCTTTAGTGGTAGAGGTTTATTTAAACCACACTGGCATAGCGTATAAAGGGTACCAGGAAATGTTATGGAAAGTAAAGGTGGTCAATGTGATACTGCTCACAGCAAGCAGTGTGTATTTACTGGTCTATAAAAATATGGGAATAGTGTCACAGACCTGACTCTGTATTAGAACAAGGTTTCGTATGAGATGCCAATGAAAAAGCATCTGTGATTCAAATGTGTCAATGAATTACATTTGAAGTGGTAGTATGACTGTAATAGTGACCATTGGACATGCCAGATTTCTTGAGTGAGTTCTGGTCAAATACAAGAGGGCAGATTTAGCTAAGCAGGGAATTCGGCAAGTACGACGATTCCCATATCATGCGTTGTTTGGGATTCAAAGAGTTAATACACCTCTCTATTAAGATAGTATGCACTGTGATACTCAATTTGGTGGATCTTTTTCTTTTTTCTCACATTCTCTGTAAACTCAAACGCAAAGTTCTGGTTGTTCATCCACTTCTAGACTTTGGTCCACAACTTGAGCTTTGCATGTACATCTGTTTCACAAATCTGTTGCTTCCTCGCGTCTCAGGTAGCAGCTCTCTGACTTTAGGCCCCTCTGATGACATGACTGTTAGGGGCAGTGGGTCTATGGGGCCCCGGAACCCACAGAAGGAAGTCTGGTGGATAACATGGGTAGACTAATAACATACCTGAAACAACAAGGACTGCTGGCCAGCTTCTGGGTCTCTCTGTTTAGTCACTGTTGATTTTAAAAAAAAAACACAAAACATTTTAATTAGATGAAAAAGAAAAACACTACAAATATTATTTTCAGAATTCATTTTTTTTTTTTTTGTCAACTTAAAAATCTGTCCAAAACTAATGGTCATCTAGACAATATAAACAAATTATAGTTACCATGCAGAAAATCAAACCCGCCACCTCCATTGCTCACCTCGACACAGTGACTTAAGGGTTAACTTGTAAAAGTAAGTAAAGATCCCTTTTCACTTCTTTAGGTGCATCGGGCACATGGGAAGAGCACCCCATATATTTACAGCCCAATCGGCACTGAATGGTAATGTGGTCAGCATTACGCCGGCCGTCTTTACTTCCCCAGGACATCCATCCTGGCACCCATTTTAGTCTGGGTCTACCTGTGACACCCCGTACCAAGATAAAAACCCAAGCAGCCAGCAATGGGTTTCAATCGCGGTGCATTAGAATTACGAGTCAGACTCGCAACGCCTAAGCCACGGATGTTGCGCTAACTTTTATGGTGAGTATAAAATGTCTTAGGCAGATATAGGCCTAATTCATAATTTTAGGCTAAAAGTCTGGATGTTGACTTAAACATCGTAATTTATGGCAGTTGCATTCAGGAGAAAGATCAGAAAGGAAAAAGTTGAAGTGCATCTGCCTGAGAGGCAAGGAACCAGCAGTCTGCATACAAATTAGTCAGATCTGTCAAACGGATGCACGCGCAACACTCAGGTTCTGGAACAGGACTGCAGTCCAGAGGTGGATGAACAACCAGAACTTTCCGCCGGAGTTTACAGCCGGCGAACACGAAGAAGAAAAGAAAGTGGAGAATATGACTGATGGAAGATATGTTCAGAACTGAGTATCTGAGAAGAAACACAGCTACATGTTACGACAACAATGCTTCTGAAATCCAATGCAATTACTATAGAAGATTTCTCAAACCATGTCGTCACCATGGACTAGGATTCCTTTATCCCCTATAGACAATGTAATGTTATCCTCTGAAAAGCCAGAATGATGCCAGTAAATGTTCATTGTGAAACTTGAACACAGAGGTCTTGATAACTGTTGTTGTTGATATAATAAAACTGGACACGCTTCTCTTCTTTCTTCTTTTCTCAACTGCTGGAATGCCTCGCAGCGTCAGGGCAGGAAAAGATCGCTGGAACGAGCCCCTCTGTTTGCTTCGTATAAAGCACCAACTTTTTAGTGTCTCTGATATTTCTGTGGTCCATATTCTGCATGGTCGACCTCTGGCTCTGTTACCGCTGTATCTGTATAACACTGCTTTCTGTGGTGCCCTATTTGATGCCAATCTTTTTTACACAGCCAAACCATTTGATTTGTTGTCTGAATATAAAGCTCAGAATTTGTTCTGTGCCGACTCTCCTCTTGACATCATTCCTAAGTCGATCGTTCCTCATTACACCTAGCATAGTACATAAACTGGACACTGCATGATGATATGTCTCCACCTTGGTAGAGGGGCATGACCACAGGAGCTATGCAAAAAAATCAAAAGGAGGAAAAGAATGCCGGTGCTGGATAGGAGATCAATAGAAAAAACCCACTAACAGTATAATTAAATAGCCTATTCTGTGGAACCCACAGAGCAAAAGAAATAAAAGAAGACATAAACACACACAAAGAGAATCAAAGATAGAAATTCATAATATAAAAAAGAGGAAACAATGGAAGATATAGAAGTCAGTAAGTGACAGCAGTGCTTGTAGACAGCTGGCTGATAGTCTACACATTAACGAGGGTAGGAGGATAAGTAAGGACGAGGAGGAGGAAGAAGAAGAAGAAAAAGACAAAGAAAAAGAATTTAAATAAATCAGAGACCGATAACTTAGAGACTGATAGGCTCCTATGACTGACCAGTCAATGGCTCTCAAAAAACAGCCAACCACAGCTAGAAAAAGCCAAAGAGGATGAAACCCCGCACAATGAAGTCAGTTTCCTTGCTTTTAAACACAAACAAACTGATATATAATTAAGTTAAGGACACAGCAGTGACAAGCAACATACCTTTGTAGCCAGGTCGCCCAATCTTCACAAAACGCCTGATGTCCACTCTAGCTCTCTCTGGAGCAGGCTGTGCTGGAGCATCTTTGGCTTCTTTGGCAGCACGCCGAGCCCTGCAAGTATAGAAGATGGTCTCACATCATTTGGTTACCTTACTACAACAGCTACAAACATTTTACAGCAAATTATTCCAATTACTGTTAGTAGCTTTGACATCCCACTAGACACAACAGCTTAAGTTTACATTTTTTTTTTTCAATACTGTTGGCAGCACCAATATTACAGACACACAACCCGCTTACATTTACAATCACTCCTCTTTCATCTCATAACACTAATAGTTACCACAAGCAGAGGGCGAAAATACATCAACGTTAGCACTATTTTAGAGTCGCTGTCATTCATGTAGTAGCTAGACACTCGCCTGTGGATCCGAAGGCCATCGGTTCAAATCTGACTGGAAACAGACTTTTCTCTCTCCCAAAGATAACCTTGGCTACCAGGTATAATCTTGGAAGTTAACGTGGTCATTGTGATGCAGACTACATTGTCCACCGAGTGCTGACCGGTCTATAAAATACTAGTCTAGAACTGTATGTTCAATATGCTTGTTTTAAACACTATTTGTACAGGACTAAAATTATGCGACAGAATCATTAATGTAGAGTTAGGGTGGGAACTTCAGAAAATCAAAACGAGGAAAAGAATGCTGGTGCTGGATAGGAGACAAATATAAAAAACAAACTAACAGTATAATTAGAAAGTCTTTCCTGTGGAATCCACAGAGCAAAAGAAATAAAAGAACACATAAATACACACAAAGAGAATCAAAGACAAATTTATAACATAAACAAGAGGACACAATGGAAGATGCGGAAGACAGTAAATGACAGCAGTGATTGCAGGAAGTTGGCTGATAGCTCACAAACTAATGAGTGCAGAAGGAGGAGGAAGGATGAGGAGAAGGAGGTAGAAAAAGCAGAAGACAAAGAAGAATTTACTTGAGGTATACTGGAATAGTTTGGTCATAGGCATGAGCTGATTAATAATGACTCAGGTAAGAACATCTCACAAGAAGTATCAGATAATCAACTTACAAGTTGCTCTGATGTTTCTTGCCTTGAGTATGAGCCAAGTAGCTGCCCTGAAAAGAAAAAAGAAAAACATATTATTTTTATGCAAAAAAAGCTCACTATGTTATCCCTGCCTGTTTAATAAGTTTAATAGAGAAAAGGGATAAGAAATGCAGCAGCCGAGCTGATCTAATGCCCTCTGTGTCAATTTACCTTATGGGATGGAGAGGTGCTGAACACGACATGGTGCAGTGCACCAGGAGCATGGCTCATACTATTTCTTCTGCCTTTCTATGCCCAAATGGAGCATAGGCCCTCAACCAGCTCATGCCAAGTGGTTCTATCCCTGGTGCCTGCATTCATCAATTATTAGCTGGCGCCTGCGTGCATCAATTATTAGCTGGTGCCTGCGTGCATCAATTATTAGCTGGTGCCTGTGTGCATCAATTATTAGCTGGCACCTGTGTGCATCAATTATTAGCTGGCGCCTGTGTGCATCAATTATTAGTTGGTGCCTGTGTGCATTAATTATTAGCTGGTGCCCGACTTATTCACTCATATGGGCGGAGCTGGGCCTGAATGAGTTACATGTTCTGAATATAGAAACAGATCTGTTTTTTAATTTATACTTTAACAACTTTTGTATTAGTTGATTGGAAAGCCCATAAGCCTAAAACCCCGATGCAAAAAAACTGTCAACTGATTGGCTGAATCCTAAGGTATTCTTGTGTGCAATCTTAGCAATTTCACTCACTAAATTACAAAGACTTTGAATGGCAAAATTATGTTTCTTTCAGCAGCAATGCATTTTTCTTTGAACAGTAAACTCTTTGTTCATTTTGATCTTATTAAGCCATTTCAAATCTTTTATTATCAAGAATCATGAAAACAATCCTACTATTTATCCATCAAGAAAAGTACACCTCTCTGTTAAAAAGATTTAGGCATAAAAACAAACCTCTATACCACGAATAATCATGAACATCAAACTGTAACTCATGAAGAGAGAAGTACAAAATACATGACAGCTGTTTTTGCAGTCAAAGGTTAAAACACAAACCTACCTCATTGTTATGAAGTGTCAAGCAAAGTTTGCATTCATAAGATCCAAGATGATTTTTCATAAAATAGGGATCCTGCAAAAGAGAAAAGAAAAAAGTTAGTTAATTGAACAATAATCCTCACTGTACAATAGACATGTCTATAAGTGCTCGGCTCCCATCTTCAGTATATCCCTCAGAATGTAGCGACTGATAAAACACTGCTGCTTAATGCTTCACTGTAGAGGACATGGGTGAGTAGTATTGTTTGGTTTTTTCACAGGGACAACCGGTGTGGTGGGAAATGAACAGGCGGACAAACTGGCTGGCTCTGCACAACTTGGTGGAATACTGATGCATGATGAGGGAGACGTGGTTAGTGCCTTGTGAGAGAACGTGTACAGTTTAGAGGAGCAGATGGATCACCAGTCTGGTGAGACTGATTCAGCAGGGGGTGACGAGAGGTTCTGGCAGATGCTCGAGGAGCAGAGGAAAGGCAAGAGAGTCGTTTAATCAGAATGCTACTGGCACCATTACTATCCGAATTCTTAACTGGTTGCTGAAGATGGGGTCGAAGCGCATACGGGAATGCCCTGAGTGCTGTGATGTTGGTTCTTGAATCAACTCAACTCTTCTTTGGCTACAAGTATGGTGTTCATGTCTAGCAATGCCTTTTTTGACACGAAGCTGTATCATTATGATCATGTTTTCTGTTATACTTCACAGAGGGCTTGGCTTGCAGGCTTATCCTCTATTCTGTTCGATCCTGTGCAGTGCTTTCACTATCATAGATAGAATCCAGCCCTACTTGTGTGTGTTCCTGGGCCACTTTGGAGGAAAACACAATATGCCCATTGAATATTGAATAAAGAATCAACATCATAAGCGCTCCGTCCTCAACTTCAGCAGCAAAACAAAGAGTTCCTATTTCGATGGCACCAGTAACTGTCTGATTGTATATCCGTCTCACCCCTTCCTTGAGTGTTTAAGCATCGGCCAGATCCCCTGGTAACTCCTCGCAGTGCCATTCTCCTCAGACCATAATGATCTATTTGCACTTACACACTGAATATGCCTATTGCTTCCCTAATAAGCATGTCACACAGGGTGATTAATTGGGAGTGTTTCTATCACAGTCAGAGTGCATCTGCCTGAGAGTCAAAGAACCAACACTCTGCATAAAGGTGAGCCAGATCTGTTGAAAGGATGTGCATGCATAACTCAAGTTCAGTAACAAGACTTAAGTCCAGAAGTAGAGGACAACCAGAACTTTCCACCAGAGTTAACAGCCAGTGAGGGCTTTTTCTTCTTTTCCACTATTTACCTCATCGAGGTGTTGTATACATAAGGATCATTTGTGCACTTTTTCCAATGCACTGTACAAGTTGGTGTTAATTTCTGTTAGGTTGCTCCTGATGGTGTCACTCCATTGTCTGCGTTGTCTTCACCTTGCTCTGTTTATTCCATTTCTTCAGCATAGCTCTCTGTGGCAGCTGGTACCAGGGCATTCTTTTTAGGTGGCTGAACCATCTCATTTGTTGTTCTCTAATGAACTGCATGACTGGTTTCAATCCTATTCTTCTAATTTCTTCATTCTTAGCCAGTGAGCACTAAGAAGAAAATTCCAACCCAGCACCTTTGACCTCTCTCATCATATTCATATTAGTTATTTGTCTTGGATATCCTCATTTCCTTAAACTACATGTTTATCATTTCAGTGCCTGTCTAGTGATATTGTTTTCTTACTACTTTTTTTTAAGATGTGCCCTAAATATTATTTTATTTGTCTTATAAATGTTGATACCAGTGTTTGCCCAGAATATTCTTAATCCTGAGACATTCTGCTTCTGCTATCAATCATTATCATCATCAAATGAAATGCCAACTGACTTGGCTGATCACGCCTGTCAGCAGCTTTTAATCTCCAACTGATCAACTCAGATGCTAACACTTCTCCATGCCATGACAAAAGAATATCAAGAATATCGTCTAGATGTGTAATGAACATCCGGCCATGATGTTGGTAATATTGGATGACCACAATAAGTACTGTCAGCTGTCTGCCTGAGATGTTGACGTGAAACTTAGTGGCCCTGTGATTGGTGGCGAATGTTCAAATGCATGCAGAATGAGACTTTGTGAGTAGACTGTGACAGATGAGATGCATTTGACTTGAATGCTTGCCAGTCACAACCCTAGACGACCGATCAGTGACAGAAGACCAACTTCACAGCATGGAACAGAGATTACAAGTTACTGTATTTGGAGTATTGTGTTCAAGCTAGTCTATTGTCGACTTCAATACGTAAGTTTTGTCACTGTAGCTGTTTACTAGGTCAACCATAGTACCAGCCCTCTACAGTTACTGAGGCATCAGAAAGAAGTGCACTGCAAGATGTCTTCCTCCACATCTCTGTCCAGTTGCCAGATGTTAATAGTATTTCTTCTCTCAAAACGTGTCCCCACTTCTTACGCAAAGAAAAAAATGTTTTTTAATCAAGAGATATCCTTTTGAGAGGAAATCAAGTAATCCAATAGCCATACCTTATTTAAATCTATGGTCTCCAAGGCTAACTGGCGAAGACGTTCTCGCCTATCCCTGTTGCTCTCAGAAGCAGAGGCAACACCTCCTGTGCCAGTTTTTCCTCCAGCTCTGTGCTGGAAATCCATGATTTATTGTTGTCTCTCTGTACCTTCACAATCTGTAATAAAACATAAAACACAATAGACTTTGTCAACATATGCTCAAACGTGGTGTAACAAAAGTGGTGGAAAGGTGGAGGTGTGTCCCAGCAACTTAGCACCAGAATATACCTTTAGGTATCTGCGGCAATGAACAATTCTGTGCCATCTCGGCAATGAAGGTTGGCTACTGTGCCACCACTGAAAACTTTGATGTCTAGGAATATTATGTGATAAGGCCGCAGTCTCTTCCACTTCCACGTGTAAAACTTGAACTGATTACTCCAAAAACAATGAAACCTTTTTTTTTTGGCTATCTTCCAAATTATCGAGGCAGAAAATATACCCTAATAGAGCCGCTCATGCGGCGTGGATTGGGAATAAACTTGATGGCTGGGACTCATGAGCAGCAGCTAATGCATTTCCTGCAGCTGCCTTCATTTTATTTGCTCCTGAGTCCAAGTCATCTAGTTTAGCCCTAATCCACTTGGATACTTTCGGTGGTGGCGGTATAGTCCCAGGAAGTGCGCAATTTGGCAGTGGCGGTCTAGTCCCCGGAAGCGCAATTGTCACATGACTGAGGCTCTGTTAGGGTATATTTTCTGCCTCGATAATTTCGGACCGTTATTCGGAAGATGGCCCTTTTTTTTTAAAAAAGAAACTCAACTGCTCAAAGCTCAAATTGGCCCATAGTACTCGAGGATCATGAAACTGTTAAATATATTTATTAACATCAATGTAAAAGTTGAATAATACTATTGTTATTCATTAAACTTGAAACTCCCCCCCCCCCCCCTGTGGGTTCTAGAGCCCCATTTTCATTTTGGGGTCAAAACTTCCTACTTCCTACTGCCCCCCCCCCAATAAAGCATTTTGAAGGATGCGACTAAATTAGGTGTGTATCATAGCCTTCAAAGGTCACTAGTCACTAGTCTGAAAAGTGAGGCACCAACAGTCAACATCTTTCTGCCCCAGGCAGCGCACTACTATGTGTGTGTGATTAGATAGCTACTTCAGTAAAAAAATTTTAATGCCCTCTACACCAATAAAACCAGCACAGTTAGATAGCTGTAAACAATCTCTTTCCAATGGTACCTCATTTAGGCTTGTATGTCATTTCTGAGCTGAGATATGTAGGTTTTTGTGGAGATGGGATGTAAGAAACAGCCGCTAAAACTTGTGACCCAGAAACAAGAAGTTTTTCTCAGCGCAGTTCTGTATCGGCTTTGTTTACATTGGACAAGATGGCAGGCAATGAGACACAGCCACTGGCTGAGCCAGCGATTGCCTGAAAAATGTCACTGTACATCTACCAAGCCACAGTTCAGTAATAAATTTTATACACAAATGTAAAATTGGACGGAGAATTCAATTATAACTAGCATTACCAGGACGAGTAACAGTTAAAGCCTAAAGCCAACCTGAAAAACTTATCGCTATTTTCAATCAAACTGATGTAACAGAAAAACAGAGGACGTCCGGCTGTCGTAGACATGCGCTGTTAATCGGATTCCTTCCCGCTCTTTTCAGCCATTTAGAATGGGTGAAAATCACACCAATCCCAAAATTTCATGAGAGATTAGGACCCATCCCGAAACCCCAGCCGACATTTCCGAAACAAGTTTCAAACGGTTTCCATGGTAACGGAAATTGTCGAAAAGATCGCAAATTTCCGAAACTGTAGTCCCTAGATTAGATATTAAATAATATTATTTATTGTTTACTACTAACGTAAAAACTGAAAACTAAATTTACATTTAGAAGCCTTGAAAATAAAAAAGCAATGCCATTCCATTCCTAATAGTAATAAATGAAGTTTATTATTATTATATATAAACCACAGACCATGTGAATAAATGTGATGTTTATGTACACTTGAGCACAATGAATAATCAGAATAATTTATAAACTAAAATGTGACGTTAAAAAAAATTACCTATTTATTACCTAGTATACACTTAAACATAAAAGAGATGATTACAAAGATAAAAGATTCTGACTTTTCATTGAAACAAGCAGATTCAGATAGCGAAAACTATCAAAACAATCAATCTCAACAACGTTCTAGTTAGTTTCTACTTCATGAAACTTCAAACTCGGATCTGATCTGGATCATCTGGTCAAGCCGCTGATAAGAAGAAAAAATGTGAATTAAAAAGAACCAAAACGATAAAAATGTATCCAGTATTCAAACTAAACTGTTAAAATATGTATAAACTAACTCTGCTACTATATTAAAACAAAAGAGTTATGTGTCAGTGTCTCCATACCGAAATACTTGAAGCATACAACTTTCAACTACAGTAACGAATAGCATACGACTCAACAGACGTGAACGCTGCCATTTTGTTTCTTGAAGTATCGCACAGAATGCACGCCTCAAGTTCCGCATCAAATATCAGTTTTTCTCTTTTCTCTCACTGATTGATTACCGTTATTGGGTGTTGTCATCAAATATGTGTAAAAGTAATAAGTTAACGTATAGTTTTATTAAAACGTCTTCTATGCTTAGGAGTTGAAAGTTTCGTACTTTAACAATCAAGGGTTCTCAACATGTTGACGACTGTACGTCTGCACGTACGTTGTCTATTACTATCCACCTTCCTATCTATCTATCTATCTATCTATCTATCTATCTATCTATCTATCTATCTATCTATCTATCTATCTATCTATCTATCTATCTATCTATCTATCTATCTATCTATCTATCTATCTATCTATCTATCTATCTATCTATCTATCTATCTATCTATCTATCTATCTATCTATCTATCTATCTATCTATCTATCTATCTATCTATCTATCTATCTATCTATCTATCTATCTATCTATCTATCTGTGACAGTACTGATTACAGTCACGTTTATTACAAGAAGGAAATAGAAGGAAAGAAACACGCGGAGGAATAAGGAGGTAATGAGTCGCTTGAGATAAAGGTCGCTACATAGTCTAACAACCCTGAGGACATTGACTCAAGAGTCGACAAAGACGTGGGTGCATGCCAAGCTTGTTCATGAACTGTTGTAGGCCAATATACTCGTAAATTAACAGAGGCAGGGCAACGAACAAAGGCAACGACACAAGATTTCCTGGGGATTTTCCATCCAAATATGCAAAGTGGCTTGGAATACCATCTTTGGCGGGAAAGAGAAAGGTTCATGAGCCTTAGAAGACACAGTTTCATGAACTCAGGACAAAGGAGAGAGGTAGCATCAGGGGTAAATACACTACTGGGAGCCCTGACAGGGACACTTGCGCTGAGATCTCTGCCAACGAAGGATGCTGTGGGCATTCGGATGATGTCGATACGATGGAGCTAAGTCCATACTTCTGTTTTGTGACTTGCCAGATAATGCACGAAATATTGCTTCATGTTATGTGACATGGCAGTTTCTGTCATGGTGTGCCGGGTTGGCTATAGGTTGGCTACAGGTTGGCTACAGGTTGGCTATAGTTAGATGGTATCTAGACTGCAATCAGCAGTATGGCTAGATGGTAGTCGGTATTTGGCTATAGGTTTGCTGGTCTTTGGACTGCAATCAGCAGTACGGTTAGATGGTAGTCGGTATTTGGCATAAGAGTAGATGGCTAGATTGTAGTTGTTATTTGGCTTATTATTTGTAGAGCAATGAAGGATATTCTAGGCGTCATTTGCTAGTTTATCGTTGAGTGGATTCTGCTGTCAGTTGCTGAGTTTTATAGTGTGAAGACGTTCTGTTTATAACATAATATAACATCTGTCGGTTGTGTAACATGAGATAGACGACTTTGTAATGCTGTTTCTTAATAAACATGATTGTCAGTTGTTATTCTCTTATTCCATCGTTAGTTTGTTGAGTATATGAGTGGTGCTATTATTGTTAGTTGCTGTAGTCTTCATACCACCACCACTTTACTATATATCTACTCTCTCTCTTCCATAAGACCTCCACTGACCATTACCTGATCGTTTGGGGTGTAGACTCATTACTACACTCTCCACACAGGAGAACCTATTGTCCTCTTATACATCCTTTAACTATTATTTCTTCTCGTCTGTCTCTCTGTCTACTTTTATGTCTTCTCTTTTTCTTCTATCCCCTCTTTAAAATGTACACCCAACTGTGACATTTTTGGCGCTGCGAACAGGATTCCTTTTGAATGTGTATACCTCTTAGTCTATGGTAGATGGTGCTATCCATAGTGTGGTATATGATTCTTAGTGGCCGTTCAGTGTTTTGGTCAGTTGGTAAGGTTTGAATTCCATCAGTTAGGAGTTGTTCTATCATTCACGTTCTTAAACAGAGTATAAGTATTTTAAGTTCGTCTGTCTTTGTCTTTGTTGGCGCATTTGACAACTTAATGAGTGTACCATTCAGGCTATGGTCCCATTTTAAGGAACAGTCCTCTGATATACATTTTTTAATCAGTGATCTATGCAGCCAGCACAATCTTTTTATTACGAACACATTCTTTGACCATAGAGATTCACAACTTTACGCTTGGTACAAATGGAATGATGTCTCCATCAAGAGCCAGATTGACTTTACACTTACCAGAGTTCAAGGAAGAAGGATAATTCTTGATTCAAGAGCAATCCCTAATGGTCTATGTGACACTGACCATAAAATAGTTGTGTTAACAGCAAAACATCTTACATTAAAGAAACACAGAAAGAAATTAAACAAAAACAAGGATCTCATCAAGATAGCAAATCTGAAACAGGAAGGAGTAAAAGAACAGTTACAACAGAAAGTAGAGACAGCATTCAAACAACTTCCACATGTAGTTGGCAATATTGAGGAAGAATGGAGTATATATAAAAAAACACTATGCTTACTATTGCAGAAGAATTATGTGGAAAACGGAAGAGTGGAAACAGACGGGGAAATAACAAATATTCACCTTGGTGGTGCGAAGAAGTAAAAGAAGCAATTAGAAAGAAAAAAGACTTATATAAACAGTGGATAAAATCAAAGAAAGAAGAAGATTATATAAACTATAG